TTTTKGGGGGTGGGGTAAACTRGAGTACCCRGAGAAAACCCACACAAGCAYGAGGAGAACATGCAAACTCTGCACAGAAAGATCCCAGGTCCGAACCAGGGATTGAACCCAGGACCTTCTTGCTGTGGGGMRTCGGTGCTAACCACTGAGCTGCTGTGCCGCCTTATATCACAAACCCCTGAYGATGGGCTGATTGGCCTTGCAGTCACTGAGTCGACCATGGACTCATCTGTAAACCATTCTAGAGTCAAATGACAGGCCGTGTGTCTGACAGCTGAAGCTTGGACCAAACTGGGTCATGAAAACCAGATCTGAACCATGCCGGCAATTAAATAACAGAAAGGATACGCACAGTATGAAAAGGTAAAGGCGTCATAATTTGTAACAACTAATAACTGCTGCTGAATACACCGCTGGGTAATAAATACCACCTGTGTACGAAAAGCACACTCTCACTCACCCAGCTGAGAGGCTATGGGGGGGTCTGTTTAAAATAAAGTGAAAAAAAAACCCACAAAACATAATAGAGTAGTTTTAGGCATTTTTTATTTCTGATATAACACCCCCCCCCCCATACACACACACTCCAATGAACTATGATCCCAGAACTGAGATAAGTACCAAATCACATTTTTCTTGTAGTTTTATACCCCCARTGGTAGGTCATCTGATGTCTACTCACACTTATTGCATCAGCTAGATTGAATCATTAAACCTGCTAATGTATCTGTCTGATAACCTGCACTGTTCAAGAACATCGTGATTGCTGGTGTTACTTTAGCCAGATAACTTAATGATACCTTAAACAGTATTGGCCTGTGGTCTGCTCGCCCCGAAGGGTCGCTTTAGGTGTCTAATGTCCTTTTGATTAAAAAAAAAGGCAGCAAAACACAGAAAAGCTGATTACATCCTGAGTGGGGACAACAACACAGAGAATGGAAGCTGAGCAAAAAGAGACAATTATTACCTGTGATTTCACAGCCCAGCAATCTCTACATGTGCATATGTGTGTGTGCGCGGGCGTGAGTGTGCGTGTGTGTGTGCGTGTGTGGTTAATCCATAACTCAGGTCAGGTCTCACAGGACAGAACCAAGCAGTTTTCTCTGATGGCCCCTGCTTTTTTTCATTTTCTGGTTTTTCAATTATTCACAGCTGAAAAACAGGACAACACTCCCCCCTTACACACACACACATCTCTCTGTAGCTCTGCAT